GGGTCTTCTCTAGTGCTGGCTGGAATACGACAGGGATGTGCAGCCCGCATCTACCGGCCCGCAACGCATCGCCCTTTGCCGCCGCCACGATCTCCTGGATCTTCTGGTGGCCGAGCGGCTCCGGCTCGGCCAGCTCGGCCTTGATCGACGGGAACTTTGGGCTGCCGTCGGGGGCGGCCGCGGCGAGCGCGCCCATCTTAATGTTCTCAAGGCGGACCGGCTTGCTGGCCGGGTTGGCGGGGTCGACTGCTGCAATCAGCCTGTTGAGCGAGGAGAGCTTGAGGAGCGGACCGCCAGCATTTTCGCCGAGTATCTTGCTGAGGAAGGCGATGCCGACAGTCAGCTCGCGCACGCGGTGGCTGTAGTCCGACTCGGCGAGGACGTGCGGGACGTTTGTGTTGATCGCGACGAACTGCGTCTCCTTGGGCAGCTGAGAGGTGAAGTGCTCGATCGAGTGGTCCGCGTAGTCAATCTTGGTCAGCATGTGCTCCTTCGAGCAGGCCTGCAACCACGCGGGGGCCACTGTGGGTGCACGCAGGCGCGGCGGCGGGGTCGGCGGCAATCGTGGCGACTGGCGTCTGACACGCGCGGAAGGGCGTCACGCGGCGCCACTGTGACGGCGGCGGAGGCGGCGGCGGCGGCGGCAGTGGCGGCGGCGCACAATGAGCATCTGGTCTAGCCATCCGCAGTGGCCTCCGCCAAACTTTGAGTTCTCGGCGTCGCGGGCAAAGGTGACGACCTTCATCTGGGTGTCGAGCGCGAGGGTGGGGTACAGCTCGTTGAACACGAGGCCGAGCGCGACGCAGTTTGCCGCCGAGTTGGACATGCCGGCGCCGGGCGGCACGTTGGACGTGAGGAGCAGGCTCAGCCCTTCGCACGGCGCTCCGCTGCTGATCATGAGGGCGACGGCGCCGAGAGTGTGGTTGGCCCACACCGGCGTGGACCGCTCCGCCATCGCCAGCCCATCCGCTCGCTGCTTGACCGCCTCCTCCTCGAGCTGCGCCAACTTTGCGAGCTCGACAGTGAAAACCTCGCCGACCGCCGTGTGGCAGAGGACAATCTTCTTGTCGCTACGCGCGGCTACGAGTGCGAGGTAGCTGTTCTGGATGGCACCGCCCATGGAGTAGAGGTGGACTACCGGATCATTGTTGAATTGCACGTCCGGGTAATCGACGTGCTCTCCGATCAGGTTGACGCGGCCGCCAGCCAGCGCGACGTGCTCCGGAGCCGCTCCGTAGCAGCGATTGAAGAGATCTTTCAGCAGCGCGACGCGAGCGCCGTCGTCTGTCGCAGCGAGCGTCGCCTTGTCCGCGTCGCTGAGCGATAGCTGAGTCATTTTGAGCTGAGCTTTGCCGACGCCGCTCGGGGTGCTCCTGGAGTGGTCGGTCTCTGCTCGGGGCCCCTCCACTCGCCTGCACCTGCTCGAACCCTGAGCACTGTGCGGCGTTGCACGCTCGAGGTCGTGCATGATGTAGTAATCATTGTCTTGAGTATTGCGCTTCTCTCGACAGAGAGCGCTGGCCTCTACCCCTTCGGTCCGTCGAACGGCGCGGCAGTTGCGACGCCGAGACTGACGAAACCTCCCTGTGGTGGGCTGCTGAGCCTCCCCACACACGAGACCACCACCGGGACACCCATGACACACTAGAACAGGTATGCCACGAGGCGGGATGAGACTAGACGTCTCGGACGAGACTCGTCACTCGACGGAAACCTAGTCGTGAACATCGGGTTGCTGCGCGGCGTAGAGCTGTTTAACGTTGGGAGCTGAACAGTGTTGCTAGTGTTAACAGTAACAACAGAACAACAGTGGGGCTCCCCAACAACAGTAGCTAACGTTAGGCCGGCTGAACAACAATAAGGAAGGCGCAGTGACCCACGACGATCTCCAGCGTCCAGTGCGGGTAATACCCGAAAATACCCGGAAAACCCCAGGTATTTTCGGGGTTTACATGTACCCGGTTTTTTTGGCATTTTCTGCTTGCTGACCGCTGAACAACAGTAACACAACAGTAACAAAAACAGTAACAGCATGAGCTAGTGCCTACCAGACGGAGTACATGTCATCTCGCTCTCGCATCCCTGTGCTACCCGCCAATGATTCATACCCTTGTCGAGTGGCATGGACGGTCATCAACGGAACAGTTCGACGCGGGATCATCGTCAAGTCCAAGAGAGGGCGGGAACATCCAAAAATCGGAAAATGACACGAACTACATTTCAACTCGCTCTATAACTATATGTCCCCCCCCCCCCCCCCATTTCGCCATTTTTCGCTTGGCTGCGCGGCCTGGGGATAGGTAGGTAGGTGGGGCGAAGTGGCAGCGCGACCCCTTTCGGCGTGTGAGCCGGTACAAACAAACAAGTCGATCGCCCCAGGGTTCCAACTTTTTCCGGGGTATGGTATGGTAGCCTCGCGGCCCAAAGGGTGGGGGGGTATGGTCCTGACCGCCCATCCCCGGTCTCCGGGAGGCTGGGTCTGTCAGCAGGCGGGGGGGGTATGGTCTCGAGTGTGTGAGTGAGTGAGTGACACACAGGTGGCATACCATACCCCGCAGAAAGTCCAAACCCAGCTCAGGCCATTCGGCCACCGAACCGCTGCACACAAGCGGCTGGCTTCGAAACCAGTGCGTCAACTGTAGTGCGCGTCGGGCTGGTGGTTAGTTCGTCATGTCACTCGTGCACGCACTGCTTGCTGTGCCACATGCACGAGTCGCACGCTGCGCAGCCAACGCGGTGCGGAGGATGTCGTGCCGCGCCTCTGCTGCCACCACCACGTGCAGCTCGCTCGTCCAGGCCGACTGGCTGCACGGCCACCTCAGTGACGAAGACCTGATCATTCTCGACGCGACACAGAGGCTCGACCGCGAGCAGAACACTGCCTCTCCGGACGCCGAGGCGTTCCTCGCATGCCGCATCCCAGGCGCGAAGTATGTGGACGTCGGCGGGCGTCTGTCGGAGCCTGGTTTGCGCAACGCGCGGGGCGATCTCCTGCACAACATGCGTCCGGCGGCAGGAGCCCTAGCGGCCGAGCTCGCCTCTCTGCTCGGCGTGAGAGCCGAGGCGGCGCACCTCGTGCTGTACAGCAGCAGGCACGTGATGTGGGCGACGCGGCTGTGGTGGCTGCTGCACTCGAGCGGCTTCCCGGGCCGCGTCTCCGTCCTCGATGGCGGGGTGCAGGCGTGGCGCGCTCGCGGGTACGCCACCGAGAGCGGCCCGCCGCCCGCCGAGCCCGAAGGCCGGGAGGGGCCGCCGAGCGGTGGGCCGTCGCCGCGGCTCCGCTGGCGCGACGGCGCTTTTGTGGGCAAGGAGGCGGTCCTGCGCTCGGTCGGTAACGCGGATGTCGCGCTGATCGACAGCCTCAAGCCCGAGAGCTACTCGGGCGCAAGGCCGTCGAGGCGTGCGCCGCACTCGACCCTCTCAGCCCTCCGGGGACCCTTCCGGCCCTCTCCTCCTCCCACCTCCTGACGGCCCGCGCCCCGTCTCTCTCCAGGTATGGCCGGCGGGGCCACATCGCGTCTGCCGTCAACGTGCCGTACGCGCGCGTGGTCGACCCGGCGAGCGGCCTCTTCCTCGGCCCTCGCGAGATCAGGAGCGCCTTCGTCGCCGCCGGGCTGCGGCCAAACGAGGATGCGCGCCGGTGGCTGCTGTACTGAGGTGAGCCCGCGAGCGACGCCCGCCCGGCAAGGCAGCATGCGGTCGGCAAGAGAGGAGGAGCCGCATCCCTCGCCCCGCAGGCGGAGGCATCTCGGCGACGACGCTACTCTTCGCGCTGGTCGTGCTGCTCGGTGAGCGGCGGTCGAGCCCTGCCCTCGCCTGCCTCCTCCTCCCCTTCTCTTGCAATATGCTTTGCGCCGCCAGCAGCCATCCACCCCACCCCTCCACCCCTGCTGCAGGCGAGGACGCAGCGCGGCTCTCGCTCTACGACGCGAGCCTCTCCGAGTGGGCGGTGGAGGAGGAGCTGCCGATGGCGGCGCCGGCCGAGGAGGGAGGAGGGTGGCCGCGCGCGTAGTTGCGCCGGACTCCCGAGGTTGTTGCGAGCCTGAATCGCGAGTGATGCGCAGAGACGCGTGGTGTGTGGGTGCGGCCGCGGCGACATGATGGGCAGGGGCAAAGAGAGACCGGATCACGGGGCTCGCCCCGGGCCCGGAGAGGCCCGGCCGTCCCGGCACACGGGACACACAAAAGAAGTGTCAAAAAAGCAATAGGTCCCACGTATAAGTTTAAAGGATGGGTTCCCCCTCTCGCTCACGCTCAGCAGAGCACGATACAGGTGGATGAGCAAAAGGCGCGCGTCAAACTGCGTGGCACCAGAAACGGGCGTCTTGGATGAAGTCGGCCTTTCTCGCTGGTAGAAAGCTGCCGCGCCGCGCCACCTCCTCCCACTGCAGCTTGCCGTCCCGCTCCTCGAGCCCGTCGGTGTCGCCGCGCTCGTCGCCAGCCAGCTGTATAGCTATCGGCTGCGGTGGAGCTGCTCCAGCGCGGGTGCCGCTTGCTGACGGCGCTCAGAGCGGCAAAGTCAAGGGCAGCAAACGTGAGAATCCGTGCACCGAGCCGAGCCGCAGCCCAGAGCAGCCACCGCACTACACCACTTAGGGGTCCGCCCACGCCCGGATCTCCTCCTCATCCAAGGCTCTGACATAAGCCCGGTCGTTTTCCACGGATTCAGCAGCGCCGCGGTCCTTTGCGCCGGCCTCTGCATCCTCGCCAAACGTGACGAGTACGTCGTCCATGCCGTCGTCCATACCGTCCATACCTTGCTGGTGGGCGGCCACCGCAAAATCGCTCGCGTCGCTGACGGCTGCCACGTCTGCGCCGGCCCGGTAAGCGAAAGGGATTTGCAGGGCTAGAACGAACGTGATCGCGGCCGTCAGGGAAGTAATGCCGGCAGCCTCCCAGGCAGGGATCCGCCGACGTGCGACCGGTCCGCTTGCCATCGTTTTTAAGGACAACGTGCGCCACCGCCCCCCCAAAATCGTGGTAGGCCCAGGGGGCGCGGTATTGGGATCTGGCCGTACCGCGTACCGCTTCACACCGAGCGCGCCGTACCGATACCGCTAGGCTCTCCGGCGCCCCGTACCGCTACCCTGTAGCGAGAAAACAGGTACCGTCAGTCGGGAAGGGTTATTTTGAAACCTACCTCTGCAAAAAGAAAGAAAACGCCCGGCCATCACCGCGAGCTCGCACCGAGGGTGTCGGACTGTCGCCTGTGGCCTCCTTTCTGCAGCCACCGGCCTGGGCTGCCCTCCTCCTCCTCTGCAACTCCTGCCGTCAGTCTAGACGGTAAGAGTGCACCTTGCCTCGCCCCACCAGGTTGCCCAGCGCGGCGCCGAGACTCGCGCCCGCGTCTCTGCTCAGGAGCCATGTCGAAGCGCAAGGCGCTTGACGATCCTCCGGAGGGCTCTGAAGTCCCGCACGCTCGCACGGTGCAGCGCCGCCGTGGGCCACAGCGAGGCTTCACACTCCAGTGAGCCGGCATTTTCCTCTCCGTAGGATGGCACGCTCGACGACAATGCTGACCGCAAAGCGGCCTTAGCGAGGAAGGCGGCTCGCCGGCGGGAGCAGCGGCACGAGCAGAGGACGAGCGAGAAGGCCGAGCTCGATGCGAGGATGGCGCACGCACAGGCCGAGCAGCGCGATTTGGCGGCGCAGGCAGAGGCGGCCCGCCGGCAAGAGTGCCTCGCTTTGAGACAGGAGGCCAAAAACTCCAATGACAAAGTACGTCCGTACGACTGTAGGATTGTGCGGCCAACAACATGTGTCGATATTTCGCGCATAAGCTTGCTCATGCACTACTAGCACTCAAACGAGCGCACCGACGGACTGCTTCGTCCTCGATCGGAGGGCTCGCGGCCTCGGACGGGCGGCGGCGGACGTCGCGTCCGCCCCGGTCGCGGCTGCGGCTGCGGCTGCTTCTGCGGCCACGGCTGTGGCTGTAGCTGTGCTGCCGCCGATCGTCGCGCCGGGAGCGGCTGCGGCTGCGGCTGCGCCGCCGGTCATCGCGCCGGTCACGGCTGCGGCTGCGCCGCCTGTCCCCGCCTCGATGCCGCCGGTTGTCGCGCCGGTCGTCGCGCCGGTCGTCGCGCCGGTCGTCGCGCCGGTCGTCGCGCTGGACAATGTGGGACGCCCGGCTTTGGCCGCGCTCACCATGGCTGTCGAAGCTGCGGCTGCGCCGGTCGCGGCTGCGGCTGCGACTGCGAGACGAGCCGCCGGCCCCCGACGACGAGTTGCCACCACTCTGTTGCATCCGCGCCGGCTGATAGGGATATAGCTAGACGCGAGCGGAGCGAGCGAAGCGCTCTGCGGGACGACGCGCCCGGCGGGCGAAAGAGCATGTGCAAGTAAAGCCAGTACTCCAGAGTACCGCCACCGGCGATCCCGGACGGACCGCGTACCGCGTACCGCTTCACACCCGCGGGGCCGTACCGATACCGCTTACCGGGCCCCCTGGGCCGATCGTGGAACAGCCACGCAACGCCGGCACACCCGCACAGGGTTCCGGCTCCTAGCCAGATAGGGGGTCTTGAGCCTACCTACCTATTGCAGGCGCCAACCGCCAGGCTCCGTGCCCCACCTACCTACCTATTGCGGGGCCGCGCAGCGAAGCGAAAAATACCCGTTGGAACCCGTTCCGGGCGCGTTCGTTCGCCGGCGCTGCCGTCCCGGGCGCCGCCACCGCGGGCGCCGCCGCCGCACCAGTCTCGGTATATCCAAATCGGCTGCATGCATACTGCGCGACGCCGCCGACCTCAGCCTCTCTCTCAATACCAATGGCGCAAAGCGCCATAGGACGTATTTTCTTCTCAATAACAAGGTCTGTGAAGAGTGACTTCTCGAAGTCACTCGGTCCTAGGGACAAGGCAACGAGGCGAAGATTCACAGGGAAAAGAATTTTACAACGCGGCACGGGACTCCGCGCGCTACCCGGGTACCAGGTACCAGGGTACCGGATCCCAGGGCCACAGTGAGGCAGAGGACATGGATGTCAGCACCATGAGCGGTCAGTCGGGCGCAACGACTGTGCTCAAATTACCGCGCGAGCTGCTCGTGGAGGTCATCAGTGTCGCGGCCAGCGTGTACGACATCGCACGCCTCGACTGCGCATGCAGCAGCTTCCGGGAGGTCATCGAAGATGCCTTGCGGCTGCGGGCTACAAGAGCTGGGACTATTGCCGTCACTGAGTTGCCGCCGAGCGCAGTCTCATGGACGCAGCAGCTGTGCTTCGACGAGCTGCGGCGCGCGTCCTCGTACCGTGGCATGCATTTTGCTATCAGCCACGGTTGCGTCCAAAGTTCCCATGTCGCGCTTGTCGATCACGAGGGCAGTGTGCTGACATGTGGCGTTAATATTCCCGACGGCAACAGCGAATATTTCCCCGAGGACGAGGACGGGGAGGTGCCAATAATCGGCTTGCTCGGCCGTGGTGACTGCCCAAGCCAGTACCATCCGGCTCGAGTGCCGGGCTTCGCCGTGCGCGTCGATGCAGTGTCTGTCAACACTCACAGCACGCTCATTCTCGGGCACGATGGCGTGGTGTACTCTTGTGGAGGTGGGTGTGATGGTCAGCTCGGCCACGGCGACAGGGGCATCCACCTCATTCCAAAGGCGATCCAGGCGCTGCTAGGCAAGCGAATTGTCGCGATCGCGGCGGGGAGGAGTCATAGCCTATTCGTCGATGCGGTCGGCATTGCATACTCCTGCGGGGAGGGCTTTGGTGGGAATCTCGGCCATGGCAACCAAGCGCGCCAGCTAACGCCGATACCCGTCAGGGCCCTGAGACGCAAGCGAATCTGCGCAGTCGCGGCCTCAGAAGGCAGTTTCTTCTTGGATGACGCCGGCGTGGCCTACTCCTGCGGACAGGGCGGGAAAGGCTATGCCGGCACAGATGACGGGGGCTTGTTTCAGCTCACGCCGAGGTCGATCTGTGGCGCGCTGCTTGATAAGCAGATCTGCGCAATAGCAGCTGGCGGCATCCACACGATATTTCTCGACACTGCCGGCGTGGCATACTCCTGCGGGTTCGGTGGTGAGGGGAGGCTTGGCCATGGTGACGAACTCCGCCAGGACACTCCGAAGCCAATCGACGCACTGCGGGGCATGCGAATCTGTGCCATTGCAGCTGGCGGCTCTGCTAGTTTTTTCGTGGACATGAGCGGCGTGGCCTACTCTTGTGGATCTGGGCCGCTTGCCAACGGCAGGGAGTGGGGCCGCCCGGCGCCTACCCCTCGGGGGGGGCCGGGGGTGCTTGCGCCTACCCCTCTCGAGGATCTGTTGGGTCAGCGCGTCTGCGCGGTGGCTACGACGAACTGCCGCAGCTTGATCTTGCTACAGGACGGGCGGATGTTCGACGCGGTGGAGCATCCCGGGGCGACAGCGTTTGGCATCAGCTCGGTACCGAGGGGAATTGTGGTTCCCTGGAATTGCCACTCGTTCCAGGGGCTGCGGGTATTGTAGCGGGGACCCGAACTGGGGGGCCCACCGCATGTGCCGTCCTCCTCCCTGGGTTCTGTCTTTTTCTTCAAAGTGCACTAGCCGCCCAGTTCGAGAGACCTCCAAAAAAGAAAAGATAAAGAAAACCCGCACACGCAACGCAAAGAGGTCGGACAGTCTCGGGCTAGCACCGCATCCGCAGCTGTGCGGTTTCGGGCGCTGCGGCCGTCATAGAGTCGCCTCCACACGCGCGCATGCTCGGGGACGCGCCCAGGCGGGCGGGCGGCGGCGTAAAAACGGCCGGGCGGGCGGCGTGAGAAAAAGAAATAGAGGTGATGTCACGATGGCGCCGTCGGGCAGATATTCGCAATCAACTGCGCTGCTGCTGCTCGCGATCGACCTAGCCTGCGCCACCACCAGTCTACTCGCCGCCGACGCAGCAGCTGCCGTCTCTCAGCCTCGGCTCTTGACGAGGCGCGCTCTGCTCGGCAGTGGAAGCTTGCTCTCGCCGCCGCGTCGCTAGCGCTTGGCCGCCTGACCGAGCAGCTCAGCCTGCGGTTGGGAGGGACGCACTGCCACGCGAGTGGGATCGTCAACGTCTCGACGTGCTCCTCGGCCAACTCGGTCTTCAGATAATAGCCCAAGTCGAAGAGTGCGCCCTGCCCTCGGTATCTGGGTGGCAGGCGGGACTAGAGAGGCATGCTGGTGCACGGTTGGGGGCGCGAGCCGCCATCTTGGACTGTGAGGCGAGTATTTGCAACCGGGAGCTCGCCGCCGCCCCTGCACCGCCGACGCCGCCCTCCCGAGGGCAGATAATAGCCCAAATCGAAGAGTGCGCCCTGCCCTCGGTATCTGGGTGGCAGGCGGGACTAGAGAGGCATGCTGAGCGACCCGGGCGGGGGATGCCCCGCGCGCCTGACCCAGGCGCGAGAAACGAATCTGCGAGGCGCGGCCGATTATGCGGCCCGATGGGGAGGAGCGGGACAGACTGCGGAGGGCGCGGGGCAGGGGCGTCCGACTCGCTTGGGTTTCTTCAAATGCACGGCGTCGCGTTGGGCAAAAGCGTGCGTTTAGCGCAGTCCACCAACCATGAGAGATTTTTAGCAATAAATACCAAACATGTGGGCACAGACATCCTGTCGGCCCCGTCACCTGTGTGTGTACTCGAGTACGACCACGATGGCGCCAATCCCTGCGCCCGGCTTCCTGGCTTAGCCTCGGCCCGAAGAAAAGCGAAGTTTTTCGTCGGGAGGCGAATCTCGCGGCAGGCGTACCGGGTATCCGTCCCCATGGAGCACGTCTCGCATGCCGTTGCCCAACGCACGACGCGCAAGGCCGAGGATGTCGCTTCCGCCGAGATCCGTCCGCGCGTCGGCACGTTTGCCGTATTTGACGGCCACGGTGGCAAGGCAGCCGCGGCCGCATCCCGATGAGCGTCTCATCCCGAGCCTCCTCGACCTCGCCATCCCCCTGGCGCCGCGCGCCATCGAGGACGCTTTCTGGGCAATGGACCAGGCGCTGGGAGAGGCTCGAGTCGGGAGCGGCACCACCGCGACATCCCTGGTCTGGCCGATTTTTTTCGCGGTATCCGCGGCGGGATATGGCGGGATATGGCGGGATATGGCGGGATATGGCGGGATACCGGGAGATACACGCGGATATGATGAGATACGGAGCCCCCATGATGTGTTCACGACAACCGGTCGGTGAAGCGTGAAACCGCAAACCGGACGCGACGGGCGAACTTCGCGCTTCGACGGCCCCGCTTGTCGAGCGCTTGTCGATTCCCATGATTGGCGACAGCTCGTCATCGACGAAGCAGCGCCCGAGATGAAGGGCATCTCGCTCGAGCAGCTCGACCAGTGCGCCCCGTGCACGTTGACTGGCGACACCGAGGAGGACTACGAGCCGCTGCGCACCCCACCGGCAACGCCGGACGAGACGGAGCCGACCATCGTCTTCCCGCACTCGTTCGAGGTTGGCTCCGCCGAGCTCCGCGAGTGGCTCACCGGGTCGGGCATTTGAATATTTGAGGTGCTATGGTGAGGGCGCACGTGAGCGTGCTGCGGGCGACATGTGTTAGCGGGTGCATGTGTCAGCTCGCGTGTCAGCTCGTGTGCCTTCTTCAAAGACATATCATTCCCCTTTTCGAGCGCACGCGCCGTGTAAGTTTCTTTTTGCCGTCGCGCTCTGCGGCGATGCTGGGTTTCTTCAAATGCACGGCGTGGCGCTGCCGGACGACGAAGATGACGACTTTGAGGAGCTGCGCCGCGGCACTCTCTTCCCGGGTGCTCCCCACAGCATCGCCAAGCAGCCCGACCCAGTGGCCACCCAGTCGGTCCTCGGGCCGTACGTGCCCTTGTCTCGAGCTTCTTCGTTTCGTACAACTTCACTGGCCCGGCGGGGGTGGTATGTCAAAAAGGGCCGGCCGAGCAAAGAAGATTTCTGTGACACTTTGCTCTGTGTTGCTTACAGTCGTAGCTCGAACGCAAGCCATTCCACGGACGACTGCGACGCCCGGTGTTTTGGGTTTCTTCAAGTGCACGGCGTCACGTTGGGCAAAAGCGTCCACATCAAACTCATGCCTCGCTGGGCTTACCGATCCATCTGGTGCTCGGACGAGCGGGTGCTTCACTGCCTTCCGCCGTACTGTGAGCTCCTATCGGCGCAGGACGTGCGCGAGAGCGTCTCGGCTGACGTCGATCTGCTGGACCAGATCGCTTCGAGCATCTCGGCTGGCACCGATCGCGGGGCGAGGCTGCGAAAGCTGCTCACTTACGCCGGGAGGAACAGCTCGCGCTTCCGAGGAAGGCTGATTCGGGCCTACGGGCCTCCACAGGAGGGCTTCTACGTGCGTGGCGTGCAGGCGCTCGCTCTGTCGATGTGGGCCGAGTATGTGGGCGCGTCCGTCTTTTTCGCGCGCGGCTGGGCGTCGGATCGCTACTACTCGCCGCAGCTGGGCGAGTCGGCGTGGGAGCAGCACTTTGAGCCGCCCTTTGGAGTGACGACCGGGCAGGTTCGCGTGGGCCGCGGCTGCACTCTCGAGCTGTCCTGCAGCGCCCTGAAATGGCTCGCGTTCGACTGGGGCGGGCAGCAGGCCCTCTCCGGCCCCGGCCGGGGCATCTACCCCACACAGCTCGGCGACACCGGCGCGACGACGCACCGCCTGCTCTGCGCGGCGGCGGCGAGCGCGTTCGTGCGGCCGCGGCTGCCCATACGCCGCGAGGCGTCGGCTCTGTGGCAGGACATGACCCTTGGCGGCCACAACTCGACTGGGCGCCCGGTCGTCCTGGGCGTGCACTTGCGAGGCACAGACAAGAAGGCGTCGATTGGCGGCCGCATCGTGAGACGGACCCCACCCCCACCATCGGCGTTGCATGGAGCAGCCCACCACAGCCCATCCCCCCGGGCCTCTCCACGCCCGGCGCAGGTGCAGCCCGCCGAGTACTTTCCGTGGATCGACGCCTTCTTCGCCAAGCACGAGCCGAGAGCAGGCCGCGCCCTCCTCTTCCTCGCCACCGACGACCAGGCCTGAGGACACTACACCCCATGGGCCCATGGATGACGCCAGTCATTATAGTAGAGACCAGTGCCATGTCTTGCCACCGCAGACACCAGCATTCCGATTGCCTCTCGCCTCTGCACGACCAGGCCTTCCTCGCGCAAGTCGTCCAGCGGTACGGCGATCGCGTCCTGCTGCAGCCTGGCGTGCAGCGTCCCGCAAACGGCTCCGCGCGGCCAAGTCCAGCCGCTGGGTTGCCGCCCGGCAAAGAGAGGCTGCTGCTGCGCCGCGTCACTGTAGGCACACCCATCTGGATGGCTCGGGCAGCGATCGGCACGCGCACGGCGGAGCCAGTGGACGAGGCTCGAAGGCGCGGGGTGCAGGTGCGCTTGGTCTCTTGAGCTGTAGGAGAGGGACTGGTGGGAGTGGGACTCCCGGCGCCTATGCCTATACGGCTCCTCCCTCCTCCCTCCTCCACCTCCCTCCTCCCTCCTCCCTCCTCCCTCCTCCACCTCCCTCCTCCCTCCTCCCTCCTCCCTCCTCCACCTCCCTCCTCCCTCCTCCCTCCTCCCTCCTCCCTCCTCCACCTCCCTCCTCCCTCCTCCCTCCTCCCTCCTCCCTCCACCTCCACCTCCCTCCTCCCTCCTCCCACCTCCCTCCTCCCTCTCCATCTCCCTCCTCCATCTCCACTTCCCTCCTCCGTCTCCACCTCCCTCCTCCGTCTCCACCTCCCTCCTCCGTCTCCACCTCCCTCCTCCCAGGTGCTGCTCGACACGCTCCTCCTCTCGCGCTGCGACTACCTGCTCAAGAGCTCGTCCGCAGTGAGCGAGTTTGCGCTCTACTTTGCGCCTCGCCTCATCGCGAGGACGCACGACTTCAGCTTCGAAGCGGGCAGCCCATGGGGCAGCCCCGCCGGCCTCCCCGCGACCAGCCGGCGCGGCGGTGCTCCTCCCTGGGCGTGGGAGCCTCAGCCAGCAAAGGAGAGAGCACGCGGCAGGCGGGGCGCCGCGCCCCTCCGGAGCCGTGAGACGGGGGTGGATGAGGCCTGTAGGCGATGCACCTGGCGCGGGGCGGACGCTGCGCTCTGAGGGAGCCTCGCGAGGCGGGCGGCGAGGGCGGCGAGCCGTTTGTAGTGCTCGGCAACGGCACCGTCCGCGGCGCAGCGGCCGGCGAGGACCCCGAGACAGCTGCCGCCGCTGGTGAGGCTGCCGGGAAAGCAGCGGAGAAGGCTCTCGACGACGGCTTGACTCCCGAGGCTGCCGCCGCCGCGGGTAAGGCGGCGGGTGACGCCATCATCGCCGGCGCAGACATCGAGATCGCGCCGTGGACGGGCGAGCACTCTCCCCGCCACTCGCTCACCTTTACTCGACACCTTTACCCTGTGGGGATGTCACAACAACAGGCGAGCCGAGCTGCGCTTCGCGCGAGAAGCCGCGGCTGTGCAGTTGGAAGGCGCGCGAGCGCTGGTGCGGCCGCCTGTCAAAGCCGCCAGAGAGGCAGCCGCTCGAGCGAGGCTACGCGGCGGCGCAGCTGAGCAGGCTGCGCCGCTTCCGGTTTGTCTCGAGCGAGGACGGTAGGACGTGCGCGCGCATCGTCTACGGCGAGGTGCGGCTTTGCAGCAGCTTCCGCCCCCCCCCCAGAGGACACACAGCCACAGCTCTCCCCAGGGGACAGAGCTCTTCCCAGAGCCGCGCCTCGTCCTCGACCCGTCTCGGAGCCCGCCCTCGATAGGCGCTGCGCCTCTACCGACACTTGCACCCGCCCTCGGCGACGTATGCGCCACCAAGGGAGAACTTCTCGAGGCAGCCGGCATTTCGGAGCGAGCGTCGTCGGGAGTCTGCCACAGTCTCGTGCGGCCGAGCAGGCGGCGTCAGCAGAGGCGGTGTCCCGTCCGGAGACTCCGTCTCTGACGCGGCGCGTCAGTGGTTCGCGGCATGGCGCACGCGCCACGCGGCCTCCGGCCTCTTCCGCCCCGCCAACGAGTCGCTCTGGGCGTGCGAGTCGCCCATGGAGTCGCCGCCGACCGTGCCGCGCAGGATTTTGCAGATGGGAGCGACGGCGGAGGCGGCTCGGTCCACTCTCGTGCAGGCGTGGCGGCGGCTCAACCCGGAGTACGACCACGTCTTTCTGACCGACGCCGAGGGGGGCGACTTTGTGCGCGCGATCGCGTCGACTGCCGAGCGAGCGGCGTACGGCGCGCTGGCGACCGGCGCGCAGCGGTCTGACCTGCTTCGGCTGCTCTGGCTGCGAGAGCTCGGCGGCATCTACGCGGACAGTGACACAGAGCCGACTCTCCCGCTGCGCGTGTTTGTCCCTCGCCGCGCCACGTGCGGCTTGCCCCCCACAGCGCCCTCTAGCCCGACGCAGCACCCTCACTCTCACCGTCACACATCACCGATCACACACCACCACGCCGTGTCCGCCTGACTGTGCTGGCGACGTGTAGGTTCCTCCGCACCGGCAGCACGTTCGAGTTCATTGGCACGCGGACGGGGCACCCGCTCTTCCGGTGGGCGGTGGCCAACGTGACTCGCGAGGTCCAGAGGCAGGTAGAGGGCATCCGCCGGGGCAGGCCGCTCTGCAACACCTCCCACACTTGCGTCATCCGAGTCAGCGGGCCGGTGATGTATCAGCGCGCGCGGAGAACCTTTTGCCGGTCGAAGGCCAACGTCAAGTACCGGAGCGTGTGCAGCCCCGCGCGCAAGAACAGCTGCAGCGCTTGGGCGCGGGCGAGGGCGAGGTGGGTCAATACCTCGACGTTCCGGGCGGAGAACGAGCGGATCGGTCTGAGCCCCGAGTTTGTGACGTACGGCAAACGTCCTTCTCCCGATGCTCTGCATGTACCTAAGGTACGCAATCTGGGCGGGTTGGTTGAGATTTGCGGCGGTGCCGTCCGCCATCTGGACTGCCGGAACGCGCGGAGAGCAGCCCTGTTGAGTCCCGGCGCGAACGAGAGCATCCTCCAGCGCGTCGGGTTCGCGCGGTGCGAGACGCGCCACTACTCGCAGCACACGCACTTCTTCAATGTTTAGCGGGAGAGTGAGCGCAAATTTCTACTCTGTACGCACATACAGTACTCTATATCTCTAGATGGACTTCAGTTGTGTGTCACACACAACTACAACAGCGCACGTTTGGGTGATTGGGTCGTCACGACGGGCATGTTTTGCGAGTATATGGGACACGATGTCTCAAATATGAGGGGTTTTGACTCCTACCGGCTCCTGACGCTATTCCTGGCAGCTCTTATGACCAGGATCAGTAGTGCTATGATACAGGGTGCCCATGCTAGCGCAGGAGCTGCCACACTCGCCCGGACCGTCCCCTTCTGGGCCCGGTTCCGCAGCCCGCGAGAGCCGACAGCGGGGCCGTGCCGCGGGTGCCTACTGCCGAGTGCCACAAACACTGCGCCGTCCCGCCATCACCTACAGGCTGTCTTGTGTGATGGTTGGGATGTCCAAACGCCACCATCTTGGCTCTTGCGACCTCAAACCCGCGAGCTGTATGGGTGGTCCTGACGTCGACAGACGCCCGATGACCACGGTGAAGCTGAGCTGGAACGAGTCGACAAGTCTCGTCTGAGCCCGTGGCGGTCGCCGGCTGGGTCGCTGTGCACGGGCCGGTACCTCAGGCGTCACCTCCGCAGCCTCAGGTCTCACACTCCATCACCTCCGCCGGGACGCCGTCGGTGGCACGCTCGGCGGCGACTTTGTGGCAGCCCCACAGCGAGCGCGGCATCGAGCCTACTCGGTCTGGTCGGTCGGCCGCACTCCCTGGGTGCCAGGGAGTGCGGCCGACACGCGAGCGGTGCTTCCTGGCAGCGCGCGCCGGCTGTGGGGCTGCCACAAACTCGAGACACGCTTTTTTGGGACATTTTCGACGCTTTTGTCCCATATACTCGCAAAACATGCCGACGGTCGATGCAGTAGGAAAACGAAACTCTCAAGACGGTGGTTTATGGCTCTATTTAGTACGCCAGACGACGCAGGGCAGACGATGTGGAGGCGGAGCAGACGCGCAGGGCGAGACGAGGGAGGGAGCAGGACTTTGCGGAGATCAGCAGGAGGATGTACGAAGAGATTAGGAGCAGCAGGGACCCGAGGGACCATGTGGAAGACGGCTAGTGCTAGTCCCCCATCGGGAGGACGACCCCGGCTAGTCGCCGACCACACCCACAAAGAACCCTGCACAAAGATCGCACGGGCGGGGACCTGTTCCTTTTTACCCATCTCCTAGTAGAGGTGTCCGTTTTAATTTATTTATTTAGTACGTACTGACTGTACGCGTAAATATCGTACGCTTCGCGCTCTCTCTATCATCTATCTGGCTCTTGCGGAGCCTCCCCCGAGAGCCGACGATCCTCTTGCACCATGGTTACAATCATCTACGCGTTGTCATACCATGTCGTACACTACACGTACACGTGCATGCAGTGCATGGCTCATGCCAGATTGGAACGCTGTGGGGCGCTACTCTGTACTCTCACCTCCCCGACGCCGATACGCGAAAACCCTCCAGGAAGTTGTGCTGCTCCTCCTCGTGCAGCAGCGCGTTCACCTCGGCGACGAGGCCGCGGAACCCCTTGTGTCCCGCCTCCGCCTCGCCGATCCGGTCGAGGGCGACGGACGTGCTGGCCATCACGCCGGTGCCCTGCCCGGTGCAGATGATGGAGGGGACCGACTTGGAGATTGTCGGCATCAGCACGTCGAGGATCTTCGACACGTCAGCGGACGCGCCGCCGGCGCCGACGCCGAGCACGGCCTCGAGCCCCGCCTCGTACGAGACGAAGCCAAAGTGGCCTTCGCAGGTCGTGAGGCGCGTCGCGGCGAGGTCGATGTTGAGGCCGAGAAAGCCCTTGACGATCAGCGAGCCGGAGCCCGAGCCGAGCGGCAGCTCGCCGATCAGCGCGTTCTGGCCGAGTGTGTAGCTGAAGGTGACGCTCGCCTCCACGTCCGAAGGCACCGCCATCAGGCTCTGCGGCGGGGCGAAGCGGCTCTCCCAGCACAGCCCGTACTTGAGCGCCGACATGTCGATCCGCTGCAGGACGACGTCGGACAGGTGCAGGATCTGGCCCGCGGGCGAGCGAATCTCCATCCCGCCCGCAGACTGGCCGAGGATCGCAGACATCTGTGGTGCGGGGGCAAAGCAGGTGAGGGGCGGCAGCGAGCGGGGCGGGGGGAGGGAGCGAGGGGCGCGGACGGGGAGCGCCTCACCCCCTTCCGGACGATTTGCAGCACCCCCTTGCGGGTCGCGTCGAGCAGCATCGAGGTCTCGCAGCCGAGGGGGAGCGCGATGTTGTGCTCGAGGTAGCCGAGCGCCGCGCCCATCGCGTCCGAGTAGGGCGTCGCCGCCTCAGCCTTGGTGGCGAGGCAGTGGCCAAACGGGTCCGTCAGTGCGCACGCGGGCGGCCGCGGCGGCAGCGGTGGCGAGGGCGGCGGCGGCGGCGGCGAGAGCGGCGGCGGCGACGGCGACGGCGCGCACACGTAGGAGCCCTGGCCGTGCGGGTCCTGCAGGCACGGCGTCGTCACCGGTACG